TACGTAGGTAGATAGAGCATCTCCTAAATTCCTCGGCCACAGCTGAAGACAGAGACTAAGTTAGAGAAATTCTGAAATGAATTCCCAGTTAAGCTGGAGGCAGAGACATCAGTATTATATCAAGGATTGTGCTTGTCTTTAGTATTCACTTAATGTGGCATGATACTTAGAACCATTGCCATCCTGTTTGTCATCTTAGGTAATTTCACTAGGAACATCTGTGACTTGTGTTTAATACTAAATTTGAGTTTTACTTAGGTAATTATTGATGTAAAATAAGACTGACTACAATTTCTTTGGCACACAGCTAATTCAACTTTATAGTTACCAAAAAGTTCGGAAACAGACAGTGCCTTGGTTCCTTTTTAGTTTTGTTGACTGAATCTGTGCAATTAAAAGGTTACTGCGCAGTGTATTAAAATTGAGTAGAAGAAAACATTTGTATAATGACCATAATGTAAGGAAAGGCTGTGTTCTGAAAGTTTCTGGGTAAGTCATGGGCTTGGAAGTGTTGCTTCACATGTAAACAACATTTGGTGTCTGGTTAACCCACAGAAGCCTGTACTGTAATGGAAAGCATTGTGGTAAAAGACTTGCACATGTGTGCGTTTTCAGTCATGTGAGTATGAGTAGATTTTTGTATCCTAGGTTGGAAATTTTGGTATTGACTACTTTTTCTCCTGTTAAAATGTGTAGCGTATAGGATGAAATGAATGTGGATCTTCTGCCACTTAGTACAACATCAGAAAAAATTGGGGTCTGTGAGTGACATTAATGAATATGATTTTATTTTTATTGCAAATGAAACATGTCAATATTCAAACTTCAGTGAGCCAATATTTTCCAAAGAACGAATTGATGAGTTCATAAACTTTATGCACAGGTAAAAATTCTATTCAAAGATAAAAAGAAATCAGTGGGTTAACAATGCAGAAGTTCATTGCTGTAGTTTTAGATTCCACAGCCAATTTTTAGGAAGATCAGGTTTGGTGTAATACCAGAGAAGAATAAAATATTCCTCCTAGGGAGAGAAAGGAGATGGAAAAAAGAATTGATGTGTTATGTGCATGTACCAACTCCCCACATGGAATGTAATCATTAGTAGTGCAAGCTTACTAATAAAAAATTTAAGAATATTCCTCCCTTTTCAGTTACAGGGCTATGTAAGACTATACTTTTTTTGTTTTGTTTTGTCTTTTTGAGACAGGGTCTCACTATGTAGTTGAGACTGATCTGGAACTCACTGTGTAGCCCAGGCTGGTCTCAAACTCACGGTGAACCTCCTACCTCAGCCTCCCGAGTGCTAGGATTACAGGCATGCACCACCACGCCCGGCCTATAAGACTAGACTTTTTATCTCCTAGTCTTACTAAGAAATAAAAAGTCTGCAGAAATGTTAAATAATACTGAGTTGAAAAATGTTTTTCATTAAGATGTTGACATTTATGTCAACATGTAATGAATGGGCTTTATTGCTTTCAGGTGAATTAGATATTTATCGTGTAGTAAATGTAGATAGGTATAATCCTTATTAAACAAAAACTCTGTGGATTCCTCAATAAGTTTTTAGTATAAAGGGGTCTTGAAGCCAAAATGTTCTGAGAATTGCTAATAACCTAAATGACTTTAATGAGCAAGTATTGAGAACAGGTATTGATAAAAGTTAGGCCCAGCCTAATCTGAAGAAGTGTAGTGTTTGTTTTTTTCGCTGGATTATGAATTCAGAAGACCTAGGTAAGCGCTGGCAAATCTGTGACATGTGTATCATTTATTTTTCTCTTAAGACAAAAGATGTTAATGTATGAGGTTTTTTTCCCTAAAGTAAAACCTCAGTATTCAGGTTTAATTACAGAGTTGGAAATTTGCGATGTGGATTGTGGTTTGCAGTTTGGACACTCTTTCCCAAAAGTTTGCCAGCATTGGCCTAAGTCATTTTTATTTTCTCCAATGTCTAGAGTAGAGTCTTAAAAATAATTATAACAATAATAGGAGCATTTAATCTTTATTAGCTCATTTAATCCTTATGAGGTAGATCTTACTTTTTCACAGCAGTGCAACTTAGCCTAAAATGTATATGTTGATGATTTTAGTGTACAGGCATTCCTCATTTAACAACCAAAGTTTCTTTCGCATGACTAGGTCATTAAATGGATTGGTAGCTGAATGAAGAAATGTGTATAGTATGTACATTACAATATTCAGAACAAAGAAATGGTCAAAGGAAATTCCAACTTGCTGACTTCGCTTTTATTTGCATAACTCTTACATGCAGTACTGTGATATATAATGTAAAACTATAGTACTAGGGCCAGGGATTTATTAGTTCAGTGGTTCTGCCACCTTCTTCGCAAGTGCAAGGTCCAGAGTTCAATCCCTGGTACCAAAAATAACAAAAAACAAAACTATAGTACTATACTTACTGTATAGTACCATTGGCCAAAATTACAGTACTATAGGGAAGAAAGGCATTGTTCTTTACACAGAATGTACAGAACTATACCAAAAAAAGACAGATTGTAAATCTGAGCAGTGATTATATATCTGAATAGTCATTAGATAGATCATTGAAAAAGGAATATCTGTATTGAATTTTTAAAGCCACAGCTCTAATGATAGTGATTAAAAAGTATTGTTTGGCTACAGATAACCACTGTTAATACAGTATTTTGATGTGTTTCTCTTTATAAAATATATATAAATGTATTTTGAAACTTTGTTAACCCAATTTTTAATTTGATATGCATGTGGATAGAGGAGAGGGAGCCTTCTTGGTATAACCGTTTCTGAACATTTTAACTTTATCCACCTTTTCTGTTGTAACTGGTAATTAAGAAAGCGAATGCCACTAGCATTAATCTCTGCCTTGGTGTTATGATCACATTAGGACCTGAACATCTGGGCTGGAGATGATGTAGGTCAGTGATAGAGCACTCGCCTAGGAGACTAGTTTTGAACCCCAGCACTGAAAAGAAAAAAAGATGTAAGCAGCCATCTTGGTTTATCCACTCATCTTGCAATACTGTGATCAAGCCTTTTTTTCCTGCTGGTTTTTGTTTTGTGTGTGTGTGTGTGTGTGTGTGTTTTTTGTCTCTCTCTTTGGCTGTCTCTCTCTCTCTCGCAACTGCAAGGTCCCAAGTTTGATCCCTGATACCAAAAAAAAAAAAAAAAAAAAAGGAATAGCCAGTTGTGTCCTGTTCGCATCCTTCCCAGAAACAGACCCAATTCCCCGTGATGCGAGCAGCTGGTTTAAAAGAACCACTTGGTATATCTCTCCCACTTCATTTTCTTACCCAAGGAAAATACAGATCTTTTAACTCCTTTTTGCAGTCCTTCTGTAGCTTAGTACTCCCAGAAATGTGTTTTTTTTTTTCTTGTTTACTTTCTTTCCTTCTTCCTCTTTTATAGACTGAAAATAATTGTGTTCTTGGCAAATGAAATATGCCTAAGTGGTCAACTAGCACTGGTGGTGTTTTTAACAAACTCTTATCTAGGAAGAAAGCTGTTAAGACTTGGAGTGGAATTAGGTATAATAATCTCCTCATGCCTCAGTTCTTTTCAAATTATATCTTTCTTCAGGTACTTTTTTGGTGGGAGTACCAGGGATTGAACTCAGGACCTTATGCTTGCAAGGCAGGCAGTGGCATCACTGAGCTAAATCCCCCCCACCAGCCACCCCATGCCTTTGGGTACTATTCTTTTAAACTAAATGATAAAGATTATTTAAAATTTTCTCCATATGCAGTTAGAATGTTCTTTCATTATAGGTATATACATATATACATACTTCTATATAAAGTTCTTTTTACTCAAATATATTAAATCTTATGATCAAGACCTAGTTATCAATGAAAACCATGGTTAGTAAGAAACATACTTTTGTATCAGAACTCTTGTGTAAGTTACCCTTAACTGTTGATTTTAAGTGTATGTGATGCATTTTTTTAAAAAGACAGGGCCGGGCATTTAGCTCAGTGGTTCCACCGCCTGCCTGGCAAGCGTGAGGACCCGAGTTTGATCCCTGGTACCAAAAAAAAAAAAAAAAAAAAAAGATCTAGTTCTGTAAGTATATATAAACAGGGTTTGAATTTCCACCAGGTTAGCCATGTGGGTAAGAGGTCACCTCACTTCCTAGACAGGAAATTGCAAGTGACAGAACCTTGGGGTAATAGCCGTACTCTGGATTTAACTGTGTGCCCAGATTGATCATGCTCCATGTGACTGTCAGCATGACTTGACAGTCACAGACAGCTGGACAGATGAGAATGTGTTTTCAGAGAGACTAAAGTGGCACATTATTTCAGGGAAGTTTATGGGAAGGCTCCGTTGTGATCAGTCACTGGGAGGTGTACATGGAATCAGATAGAGGGTATGGGCTGATGTAGTTCAAAGCCAAGCAGCCGTCTCTGCTTCTCGAGATAGACCCTCCCAAGATACTCAATGATTTGCTGGTTTGGGACATACTTGTTCTCTTTGGAAGGCACTCTTTTCTTGACACACCATGTTGTCTGTCTTTTTGTAGAACAGCCTCACGATCAGTTGACTAGGTGAATTGCTTTTGATGTGTTAGTGTAATCATGCTTTCTGCTTTGCTTTTCACATTCCCACCCCCAACCCTGTACTAACTTTGTTGAGGGAAATTTCCTTTGTTGAGAAAGATCACATTTGTCACTTCTCTCATCCAGTGAGTTTTCCAAATTTTGTCAGTGTCACTTTAAGAGGGTAACATTTAAAAATTTGAAATTGTGTGTGGGAGGATAGTTATTACTATTTTGTGATTGTGCTGTTTTATACCTCATTATTAATGCTATGTTTCTCTCTCTCTCTCTCTCTCCCTCTCTCTCTCTCTCTCTCTCTCTCTCTCTCTCTCTTTCCTTTCTTTCTTTCTTTCTTTCTTTCTTTCTTTCTTTCTTTCTTTCTTTCTTTCTTTCTTTCTTTCTTTCTTTCTTTCTTTCCTTTCTTTCTTTCTTTATTTTCTTTCTTTCTTTCTTGCCTTTTTTCAGACCAGTTCCTTAATACTGAATCATGTCTGATAACGGAGAACTGGAAGACAAGCCCCCAGCACCTCCCGTGCGAATGAGCAGTACCATCTTTAGCACTGGAGGCAAAGATCCTTTGTCAGCCAATCACAGTTTAAAACCTTTGCCCTCTGTTCCAGAGGAAAAAAAGCCCAGGAATAAAATCATCTCCATATTCTCAGGCACGGAGAAAGGTAAGTAACTTGGTCTCACTAATCTTGGTGTTGGCTTATTATTTTATGGTATCCATGTTGATGTTTTTCACTGTGAGAACACCCACAAATCCAAGAAAACATTTCACGTTGTCGTCATCTGCATGTTCTGAGACCCCAGGTCATGGTTTACAGCTTCTTGACTTCAATGGGATTTGTGATGTCTTAGTCCATTCTGAGTTGGTTCATAAAATAGCTGGGGCTGGGTACTTTATTTAAGAACATGGTTTATTTAATGATTCTTGTGGCCAGAAAGTCCATACAACATGACCCTGGCAGCATCCCAACCTGGCAGAGAATTAGGATGGGTACATGTGCACATGTTGGTGAAGAGTCAGGAACGTGGAGAAGGACCAGCTTGCTCTCATAACCTCCCGCTCCTCAGGAATGAATGTACTGCCTGAGTCCAGCGTCCATCTGTTCTCAGGATGTGTATGATCCTGTCCCCTCTTGCTGGGCCCCACCTCCTAAAAGTCCAACCACCTTCCAGTACTGTTGGTTCGGTTTTATTCTGTTCTTTTCTTTTCATACTGGTGATCTGGCCCTTTCCAGTACTGTTAACAGAGGACCAATCCTAACACAGGAAACTTTGGGAGAGAAAGCATGCCTAAACAACAGCCATGACACCTGAGGAAACCTTGCTATCATAAGAGTAGTGGCTTAGGTACCACTGTACATACAGTCTGTAACCTCTAGCGCCAGCTGTGTTTCAGAATTAAATTTTTTTTTTATTTTTGAGTAGTAATGCTGTCTTTCTATCATATATTCTATGATGTTCTCAGAAGGCTCTGAGGCAAGTGTTCATATCCAACATATTGATGTGTCTTCAGGAAAATGTATGTCTAGTCCAGTGTTTCTCAGTCTCGGCACCATTGACATTTTAGACCAAATAATTTGAGGTTGAAATTTTCCTTTATGCATTATTGGATATTAGCAGCATTCCTGGCTTTTACATACTAGATGTCAGTACTATCTTCCTTGGTGTGACAACCAAAAATGTCCCCAGACATTTCCAGATATCCTTGGGGGGTACAATCGGCCCCAGTTAAAAAAAGACTGGTTTTTAATTACACAAAGTGAGCTGAAGGCTAGAAATGGTCTCATAATTTAAAGTCACTAAATTAGTTCTGGTGTCAAATTTAAGGAAGAAACTAGCTTTTCAGAACTTTTTGGTTTTTAAAATTGCATAAGGAATTATGAACCAGAAGAATTTTAGAAAAAGGTAAAGGATTAATTAGATTTAACCATATTTTTAGCATGATAATGTGGCTCTGATAGATGTTAATAGATATAAGCAGAGATAATGATAAATCTCCTTGGCCGGGGATTTAACTTGTGGCACCATGTGCCTGCCTCACAAGCACAAGGTCCTGAGTTCAATCTGAGTTCAATGCCCTGTACTGCAAGAAAAGAAAAAAGATGCATTTCCTCAAATGAAAGAATGGTGCTTTGTACATTATATTGTTTAACTCACTTTTTTTTTTTTGGTTTTTTGAGACAGGGTCTCACTATGTAGTCGAGACTGACCTGGAACTCACTATGTAGCTCAATTTGGTCTCGAACTCACAGCGATCATCCTACCTCAGCCTCCCAAGTGCTGGGATTACAGGCGTGCGCCACCACGCCTGGCTACATTTAAGTTTATATAATCAGTGAAAATTGGGGTTAATATTTATAAAGAATCAAATTTTAATAGGGCATGATAGCACATGCCCTGTAATACCAGAATTTGGGGAGGCTGAGGCAGGAGGATAGTGAGCTTCAGCACCCAGCCTGAACAGTTCAGCAACTTTACAAGACCTTGTCTTATAATTTTAAGAATTAATTCTTTTTAAAGAGGGGTTAGGAGTATAAGTGTACCTCAGGTAAAGGCTGTGGGTTCATTCTCTAGTACGGGGGAAGGGTGGAAGCAAAAAATTTTAATCTTGAAGAATTTAGATTTGCAGACAGGACTTACTCATTAAATAGTTGGAAACCTATTCATTTTATCATGTATATCACATTTCTAATTTTGCTTTTATTAACATTTCATGTGTTGGGTGTGGAGGCTGCATGCTTTTGCAATCCAGGGAGGGTGAGGGAGGAGGATCTGAAGTTCAGGGCAACTTAGACCTGTCTCAAATTTAAAAAGAGCTGGGGATATAGGTTGGCACTCCCTGGATTCAATCTTTAGTAAACAGGATCCCCGGGATATAGCTCTGTGGTACAGTGAATGCAACCCTGGATTTGATCTTGTGGCGGCAGGGATGTAGGAACAGATTTCATGTGAGGTTGTATGAAGAACCTAGTGAAACTGTTTTTAAAGTTTAATAACCAAGTGATCTGGTGGGTATGTGATAGGTTTTTGATTTTTTTAAAATGTACTTCAACTGGATTAGGTGAGGATCACATATTCTTCCTCATTCCTCTGTTGATGGATTCTTGCATTATTTCCATTTCTTGGCTATTGTGAATAGTGCTGTAATAAATTTGAGAATGTGGATTTCTCTGACATACTTCCCTTTGACTACATACCCAATGGTGAGGTTGCTGGGTTATTCATTAGTTCTGTTGTTTGTTTTTTGTTTTTTGAGACAGGGTCTCACTGTGGAGTTGAGACTGACCTGGAACTCACTGTGTAGCCCAGGCTGGTCTCGAACTCACAGTGATCTTCCTGCCTCAGCCTCCTGAGTGCTGGGAGTACAGGCGTGCATCACCACACCCACTCCTGTTATTTTTTTGAGGCACCTTGATGCAGTTCTCTATAATGGCTATTAACTTATATTTCTACCAATAATGAGTTTTTTTTTCTTCATGGCCACTTCAGCATTTGTTATTTTTTGACTTTTTCTTAATAACCCTTACAACTGGAGTTAATGATGTCTTACTGTGATTTTGATTTGTATTTACCTGATGATTAACAGTGTTGAACATTTTTTCACATGCTTGTTGTCCTAGTTTATGTCTTCAGAGAAAAATATTTTCAGATCATTTGCCCACTTTTAATTGGATTATGTATCATTTTGCTTTTGAGCTCCTTATATGTGCTGAATAAATACTAATTCTTTATTGGATGACTAGTTAGCACATATTTTTGCCCATTCTGCAGATTTTCTCACTCTAATGATTGTTTCTTTTGCTGTGCAAAGGATTTTTAGTTTGCTCTAATCTCATAACAACTTTTATGACCAAATCTTTTTGCTTGCCTGCTTATATGTATTGTTATTCACCATGACTCATCAGAAATATGATGAGAAGCAAAGCAGATGGTGTCCCTCCCCTCATGATACCAGTTAAAAACAATTCTATAGTGTGTAATTACAGACTGTGCCAAGTGACACAGCGCTAGGGTAAGAGGTCCACCTAATCTGGAGTATTTGAGAAGACTTCTCAAGGAAGTGAACATAGAGCTGAAGAATGAAGGGTAAGTGACTGGAACAGCAGTGAAAAAATTAGTTCCATCTCTAGAAAAGAGCTGGTCTCAGTGGCTGAGCCCTGAGAAGGGCCAGAGTGCACTGAAGAGTGGAGTGCAGCCCTGTGATTGGAAATCAGAGAGGGAGGCTGGAAATGGCCGTGCACTATCTGGAGAGGATTCTAGTCGGCAGAGTGGCAGATGAGGTCACGGACCAGGTCACAAGGGGCTTTCTTTGTATTCTCTGCTACAGACCTCAGATTTCACCCTGTTTCCTGGAGAACTGTTAGAGAATTTAGACAGGAGAAGTCCTGGTCACATTTCTGTTTGGTAGAAGAGATTGGTAGCAGTACAGGACCAAGAGTTTTGTTGAAGGTCTGAGATTGAAGTTGAAGGCCAGTTAGAAGGCTTTTGTAGTAGCCCAAGTGAGAAATAGCCAGTCTAGTAGTTTCAGTAATGAAAATGACAGTGAGGCATTGCCTTGGCTGGCTTTCTAAGCTCTATTCAGCTAGCTAGCATTGTATTGTGAGAGTGTAGTATTTATCAACTAAATGGCTTTCATGTCTAATTCTGCAGCCTATTTGCACCTTCACTTCTGGTTATGAAAACAATAGAATGAGATCTTTAAATGTCCTTTCTTGTTCAGAAATCTAATTCTAACATTAATATTAGTGATATTGTCTCCTGCTTCTCTTTCTGTTTCTTAGAGGAGTGCTGTTCTGTGTAATAGAACAAATTTAGCTTCACCAGTGTGAAGGTAAGTCAGAAGAACAAAGTGGTATGGTTACTGACTGTTAGACTAGAAAAAAATGTAGTACGGGCTTTCTTAACCTCACGCTGTAACTCAGATGTAGCCTACAAGGTGATGGCCCTAAAGGGTGTGATCATGGCCTACGTAAAGCACCTTTTGTTGACATGGGGCACTTGTTGTCTGCCTCTTGCCTGAAGGCTGCTACCTGCCTGCTGCTTTTGTTGTGTTGTTCAATGAAGTCTCGTCTCAGATTCTTTTTTTTTCTCCCCTCGTTGGGACAGTAATAAGTTATTTTATTAAAAGACATTTCTTTCTATGTTGTCTTACCTCCCTTCAAGTGATCCAGTTGCCTGGTAGATATACTGTAGGTGATTACATTTGATAAAGAGTCGGAAGTTGACTTACTTTTGTTTTATAAAAAAATTAACAGATTTTCTATTCAAAGCTAAGTTGTCTACATAAAGTTATTTTTATCTTTTAATTCTTGGTTTCTAGAGTTATGTAGACAGTTGTTTGGTTGGTTGGTTTTTTGGGTGTTTTTGGTACTGGGGATTGAACTAGCCAGTTTTTATAGTAGTGCCTTTCCAGCACATTGTTCAGTTTGAAACTTGGTTTGGAATCTTTGCTTTATTTACATACTGTTTCTGCTATCTCTCTTTTTTACCCCTCCTGCTGACTAATAAAAACATAGGAAGGGCCGGGGATTTAGTTCAGTGGTTCTGCCGCCTGCCTAACAAGCACAAGGACCCAAGTTCGATCCCTAGTACCAAAGAAAAAAACATAGGAAGTATTTGTGAAAAACATACATAACAGATTCTGGGGATATTGTGCTATTTTCTA